GCAAACCTGGTAAAACACTACTGGAAACCTTTCACCTCTTTAATGCAAAACAAGGCTACTGTATTAAATATTACCATTGCTTTTCTCAGGTGTTCAAATATTGTGCATCTGTACTATACAAATAGTTAAAAAAAAATAATACAATGGGATTTCTGGATTTATTTTCTGATTAGGTCTCTCACAGCGGACATGCACCTACGATGACACCTTTCAGACCCCTCAAAGATTTCTAAGTGGGAGAACTTGAAAATTAGCAGGGTGTTCAAATACTTATTTTCCTCACTGTACTTCCCTCTGACCGTTGAGTCTTTGATCGATTTAAAGCACTTCTCTCTGTGCTTTATTAAGCAAAAAATCTCACTTTAAACTAAAACTATTTGGGTTAGCTACAATCAGTAAATATATAAAGAAAAATATATAATTATAGAAAAACCCCATAGATGAACAACACATAGATGGGCAGAATATTAGGTTCCTTGAAGCAGATATAGAGAATCAGAGCTGGTTTTAAAGTTCTGCTAGCCTGTATAAGTTTTATTTATTTTCTTATTAATACCTAAAGATTAGGAAAAATACATATTGGATAAATTAGTTGGTAATATTAACTGCTGGTCTGTTATAAAGTTTTAGTACAATTATTTCCACCACTCCTGTAGACACTCTTCGATGAAAAGCCATACCAAAAATATCACCTTTTAACTCAAAGGTGTGCTAAAACATCTTTTTTTTTACAAGGAAAATACTTGTTACTCTAGGGTAAATATTCCCCCATTGTTCCTGTGTGGAAACAGCAGAACAGCACTAAGTCTCCTGTAACAAGTTGGTACGTTTATAAGCTTTCGTGCCTCATGCTTAATTTTGTAATGCAATTAAAAGATTTTATTGAAGAAACATTGTGGATTCTTCTTTTGGATGTTTTCATTGATCGCAGCACTTTTCTGTTTCTTTTCGGTGGGAGCTCTGCTGGAGGAAACAGAGAAACAAACTCAGGTGGTCTGACATTAATATTTATACCTCAAAAGACTGAGTGGCACTAAAGTTAAATAATTACCCAAGGAACCTGGATAATCTGAACTATAACTCTATTCAGTCTGTAAACTGGAAGTATATGTAAACTCTACAGACATAACAGTTTCATTTCCTCTCAGATTCAGACTAAACCTTTTCCAGCTCAGTGTTGGGCTTTTATTAAAACAGGAAGGCAACAGCAGCATTCCTTGGCTGGAAAACTAAACACTGTTCTGGAGATAAACAGAACTGACTGAGTTTTTTTTAATTTATTTACCAATTTGCATCTCTAATAATTGAACTAAGAGTAATTTAAAAAAGTGGAAAAAAAAAATAAGTAATTTCCCTCTGGGATTATTGCAGTATTTCTGATTCTGAATTTCACACTGGAGAAATTCACCTCTGCGTTTAACCCATCCCCTTGGGGAGCAGTGGGCTGCCATTGTGCAGAGCTCAGGGAGCAGTGTGGGGTTAAGGGTCTTGCTCAGAGACTGAGAGTGCAGGCTGTGGGAGTAGGGCTTGAACTGAGAACCTTTGCACAATGACCTAACCACTAGGCCACCCGTCCCCCTAATTTCTGACCCTTTAAACCAACAAATGACTCAGCTGCTAGGATTATGTTTTTTTATTCAATAAAAAATAAATGAATACTTATGATAAAAACAACCATTCCTGGTGAGGAAAAGGTAAGGACTTTCAATATGCAATTTCACATAAAATGTCAAAAGTACCCCAAAGGGATATCATTTCAGATCATGCCATCATTGGAACAGCTGCATGCACTTTGGGGAATGATAAATAAATGCATAATCGTTGGAAATTATAAAATGGCATTTCAACTGTTTTTAAATCTGTTTTTGTTTTACAGCTGGGCATTGTCTACAAAACAGGAATGCATTGCTGTTAAAGCAGACAGCGTTTAAATCAAGGTGGTGATGTATGCATTACCAAACCTCCCTGCCTTAAAGGAAACTGTGCTCTTGTGTCACTCTTAGTCCATGTAGGACCACAAATCACAGGTCAAACAATAATCAAAGAAAGGGTAATAAAACCAACCCCAGAGATGAGGTATGAAGACAAAGAGGTAATAAATCAAATGATTAAATAGGAATTTTCCACATACTTTTCTCTCCAACCTTAATTCTTTTGATGGATCACCCCCTAGTGGTCATATAATGGAATAGAAGTTTAAAAGCTGTGTATGGTGGATTATTCTTTAAAAGGGATTTATTGAATCAATCAGTTAAACTGATTGATAGATTAATTGATTTATTAAATGCAGTAGTTTAAACTGGAACAAACTGTGCTTCTTCCAGTTATTTACTTCGATTTTTTATATTTTTTGGCTGTGTAGATTTAATCATTAACAACTTAAACATCTTTTGAATTTTTGTTGTGAGTTTGGCGTATTACTGATGTTCCACTACACTGCATCCTAAAGACAAAACAGTGTGTCCGTGCTTATCCTGCTCAGTATCCTAACACCATCTTCTCAAATAGGTTCATAAAATATATTGTATATCTAAATTATATAAAATATTTTTCAACACATATCATTCTAATTTGACTTTCCTGTCCAACATTTAACATTTCTGAACACCAAGCAAAATAACTGGACATAAAGTTAAGGAGAACTTAAAAATGTGTAGGGAAGCTATCCAACCAAACTTCCCCTAAAACTTTAAAACTGGTGGTGCCAACCTTGTTGGCAGCAACTTCCATCCAGCCAAAAAAACTTTCTCTCTGACTATTTTGCTGTGTTCTTGTGATGCCAACTGAACCCAGTGAGTCCTCATGACACAGTTGCATTTATGCTGAAATCACTCAACTGGACTAAGTTTACTGATTCAGTAATACATGGTTTTAGAGTAGAATAGAATAAAATAGAATAGGACAGAGCAGAACTGAGCAGAACACACCTGAATAGTACAGAACAAAACAGGTGAGAACAGAAAAGAACAGAGTAGAACATAATAGAATAGAATAGAATAGTACAGAACAGAATAGAATAGAATAAAATAGATCAGAACAGAACACAATAGAACAGAACACAATAGAATAGAACAGAACAGAATAGAATAGTACAGAAAATAATATCATAAAATAAAATAAAATAGAACAGAATAGAATAAAATAGAATATAATAGTACAGAACAGAATAAAATAAAATAGAATGGAATTAAACAGAATAGAATAGAATAGTACAGAACAGAACAGAATATAATAGAAAGGAATAGAATAGAACATAATAGAATAGAATAGAATAGTACAGAACAGAATAAAATAAAATGGAATTGAACAGAATAGAATAGGATAGAATAGTACAGAACAGAACAGAACAGAATATAATAGAAAGGAATAGAATAGAACAGAACAGATTAAAACAGAATGGAACAGAACAGAATAGAATGGAATAGTCCTTTTTTGTCCCTTGACTTTGGTATTTTGGCAGCATGTTACAAGAGCTAAAAATACTGTTTAGTCTTTATAAACAACATTATCCTAACAAGTAGTACTTGAACAAGTACCCCTTGAAGTTAATGTTTATTGTACGTTGTCCCTGTTTCTCTGAAACTAAACTTGTTTCTTTGACTGTTTGTAACTTGTTTGATTAAATTATGTGGAAATCTTCACAGGTTTTAAGTTAAAAAGAAACCTGGTCTTACTCAGAGCAGGGCAGATCATTGGGCTGTGTGTTACGCTTGTCTTGTTTTCATCTTTGCAAAGATAAATAAAGTGCCTACTGGGTGAATTACCATCGGTCTCCTTTATCCAACTAGATTGCATAGTTGAACACTTTTTTCCCCAGGTATTAAGGCTATTAGCTGCTGGGAGAAAATATCTCTAAAGATAATACTCCTTTTTGCTCCTAAAAGGCAGTAGTATTTCCACTAACAGAGCTCTCTGGCTTTGAAAAAATTGAAAAATCCAAGGTGAAGCAAAGTTAAAATTTGGTTCAAAAAGCATTTGGAATTATGTACCATTTCTTTCCCAATTCACATTTAAATTTTTACTTTAGTTTGGTGTGTGACATAAATCCAAACCAAATAAATTTTTTGACTGCGACGTATTTAAGCATGAAGCAGTTTAAGGTTTATAAGCCAATATATTTGCAAGGCACTTTATAAGCTTAAGCTTTATAGGTTTCTGTTTTGTCCTCATCCTATAAGATCCTTTTTATGGTGGTTTAAGCTCAGGGAGAGTGTTTAAGGCTCACTATTTCACAATGTCATAGTAGAAATTATTTTGGTTGTTAGTTGGATTTTGCTGTTATTAGATCTGCTGTTGTTATCACTATATCACAAAACTTCCCCTATTTCCCCTTAATGCCTTCTTCTTATCTTTTTTTTTTTTTTTTTACTTTACTGTTTTTTGACCAAACTTTATAAAACAGCAGCAATGCAAAGAAAAAACAGAATATGGCAGGATAGTTGACAGTATAGGGGGACCAGTCACCTCAGAAATCCATTCAGGGGTTCCTAATTAAGAAATTTATGGGTTTTGCATTTGTTATATTGGGGGATTGGGTGACAAAAAGGATGTCTATGGTAATCTGAAAATTGTTTATTTATCTATGCAGTTTTATCAGGAACAACAGTTTTTGCCTGTTTGTTGTTCTTCACATAATGCATATTTTTTGTTCTTTAGTTTGTGGGAGGTATTTTTGTTTAATCCATTAAAAGGTAATTTAATCTTAACAAACAAAAAAAGAAACAAAAATTACTAATATTTTAAAGTTTTATACAAAAAATATGATGTGACCCAATTAAATAACTGAAGTTCACTGAAGTTTGAGGGATAAATATGAATTCAAAGTCTGTCTTAATCAACCCTTGGAAATAGTTTTAAAATCCCAAATCTGCAGAAAAAGCTAAAAACATAACTTCCTCTGATCAGTCTATTTTGATCTTCCCCTGTAAATAACTGTAGTGCTTGTAATCCATTTATCTGACTGAAGGGGGCGCTGTGACGCATCACAACTCTGCTGTCTTCGTCTACTTGGCAACAAAATCAGTGTTGTTAACCGTTGCTAGGGAAATGAAGGAGCTAATTTTAAAGCCGCCACTCTGATATTGACGGTTCAAGGTAACGGTGTACTGGCAGGTTTTCGATAAAGTTGTATAAACCAAAATAACCAAACGGTTCCTGTAGTTTTACAAGAGAGAAAAAGGGTTAAGACGCATTTGTTTGAAACGCTATTTAGCTCAGCTAGCATATATTGTTGCTATTCAGTTAGCAGTTAGCTTCCCAAGCTACAGGAGATTTCCTACCTAGTGAAGATAAATGAAGTGTTTGAGTCTGAAGTTTTTTTAGTAAGCAAGTAGGGTGTGAAATGGTCAAATGTGCTAACAATACCATCCTCGTTTTTCGTGAGGTGAGTTCGCCCAAAGTATTTGCTGGCCTGTTGCACTGCTAACGAATTAAGCACTCTAACATTTGAATTTTAGATAGCTTAGTCCGGCATCTGAGATTTTCCCTGGAAGGATAACAGATACGATTCTAACCTATGAGTAAGATGTGGGTTTAAATTGCGAAATACAGTAGTCCTTTATAAGAAATGCATGATCATTTCCTATTTATCTGGTGAAATCCCAAAGGAAAAAAAATCAGATCTGACTTACATTATATTTGACATGTAAAAATGGAACAAAAACACTTTATTCACCCCAACATTAAATGGAAACTTAAACGACAGCCAATCCACATGCTGCATGTTGTATAAAGTACATTTCCCCTTGCATCACCAGCCCACCGGCCTCTAAGGCAAGGTGGTTTGATGATGCTCAGCACAATGATCTTCATGCTGAGTTAGTAATTAAGTAATTGAAGTGTGTACGATCATTTATGTATGTAGATAGTGCAATGTATTGCCAGTTGAATTAGAAACCCCTGATCTAGACTTGTTGAACATAGTATTGAATGTATGTTTAGGTTTGTTTGTTGAAAGGGGAAATCTCTGCCTCTGTTTAGCCTCCTCCTTATGCCGGCTGAAAAACAGCAGCATCTCTGTTCCTTGATGCTACCACCAGTGTTGGGAAAGTTCTCTTTCTACGTGAACTAGTTCAAAGTTCAGTTCACACATTTTAAAATGAACTAGTTCAGTTCATAGTTCACAATTCCAAAAAACGAACTAGTTCATAGTTCTTTTTTTTTTTTTTTTTTTTTCATATATTGCTCAATTACACCATAGCCTACTGTAGAACCACAGACAGCAATTATTTTATCAGTTGTAACTCTGAAACTGTGCGTCAGATTTCATCTTCATATCCAGTTTTGAATCCTTATCCAACCAGGGTTTACATTAGCATTGAGGGGACAGCATTTCCCCATTGTTGCTTTAATGCTTTGTTGCTGTCCATCACTTCACACTAGTAGCAGCTGCAGCTTTCAACCCTACAGTATATTCTCAAAAACATCAGGAAAAATGTGCTGCTTGAATGGTCTTTTTTATGAGGAATTATTAAAAGAAAAATAGGAAAGTAGTCTTTAAGGTGCAAATGTTTTTTGTTTTTTTTTTATAATTTTTTCCATTTGAAATTCCATTTCAATACATACTAAAAAGGAATCCTGGAAAATTATACCAGGCAGGTTTAACAAACAAGTTACATGGATAGTAAAACCCTCAAGAACAGGGGTCTTCTTTTCCAGACCAAGGACCCCCAAACTGATGGCGAGATGGAGCGGGGACCCCCTATTTATATATATTGTATGAAATTGTGTCCTATAGTCACTCTATTACAGATGGAGTAATGTAAAGAAATTAATTTCTCCCTGGGATTATAAAAGTTTTTCTGATTCTGATTCCTGGTTGATGGGACAGGTGTTGTGAAGGAAACGGTGCCCAGCTTGAAAGAGCTCCTGTGTGTCGCTGAATGTGAGCATTGATGACTGAAAGACATCTTCTGCCTCCATTTATCTGTTTACTACAGTGTGTTGATTTCATGTTAATGAGTATTTAAAGACATTTCAATTAGTGGGGGAAAGAAATGCAGGGGGGGAATATAAAAATATCAACTAACCATGCAGACGCTCATGCAGTACCTCCGTAGACCCCCTAGGGGTCGCGGATCCCCCGTTGAAGACCGATCAAGAACATTTTACTAACACAAACTGAGGGACCAGGCTGAGGTAGGAATTTAAGGTTACTGAAGTGCGGATTTTTTTACTGAAAGCCGGCGGGCAAACTTGTTGCCATCATCCTGGTCATAAACCTGTTTTAAGTCGCCTACATGCTGCTGTTGCTTCCACGCTGCATTTTGTTTTGATGACGCACGCGGCTGTAGGCTACGACGCTGGTAGCTGGTGTTGCCAGATTGGGTGTTTTTCCCGCTACATATTAAGGCCTGTTTACGGTGTGATTTAGCCGGGGTTTCGCCTGGAGGGCTTTATAGAAATCTGGCAACCTGTTAAACGGACTTGAACTGAGAGAGCTCCGTTCACAGACGCCAGAATGAACGAGTTCACAATAACGTTCACCAGGCAATAATGCAGTACGTTCAGTTCACGTTCGCCCAAAATATGAACGAGTTCATGAACTTTCGTTCAATGAACGCGTTCAGGCACAACACTGGCTACCACTATGCTTCATAGTGGGGAATGATGATGTGCGAAGATAGTTTGGAGCCATGCTGAGTATTTTGCATGGGGACTAAAAAGTTAGACTTTAATCGACCAGAATAGCTTTTTCCCTCAAGTTTTCTTACAAAGCCTTTATTTTTTCTTTCTTCCTAAAAGACAACATTTTTGACCAGAAAGCAAATCTATTAATTGTCCTGTCAAGAGATTCTCCCCTCTGAGCTGTGAACCGCTGTAGCTTTTACTAACACTCTTTCTGTTGTTTTGTTGCAGGTGTTATGACGATAATGAAAAAGATTTATCCTGCTCACAACAGCTTGTTTTGGACATGAAGAAAGGATGGCGGAGAATGGAGAGGACTGCACTCTCAACTGCCCCTCTGAAACTCGTGATAAAGGAGCCTACGATGACATTGAAAGCAGGAGCCCCAAAACCCCACTAGTCGATATAAAATCTAACAGAAAGAAAAATGATGCTGGACAAGCAGACAGGGAGATCCCTGTGTACCTGCCTCAACCCCCCTCACTACCCAGGCTTTCTAAGTTTGGTAAAAGTGTTTCAGCGGAGGAGACGGTGAGGACCAGGAGGCTCAGAAACAGCCAGGAGAGTCTGAGTGACAGAGCAGAGACAGGTTCCTCCACAGACTCTCTCAGAGAAGATCGATTATCTCCAAGAAACGAGCAGGACTCCAACACCAAACTTACCAACTTCACAATTGGATCTCCGGTTCTCCAGGACAGGAAGAGCAGACCGGCCAAGCACGAAAAAAGGTCACAGAGTCAGCAGAGTGTCTGGGAGGACCACCGGGGGCGATCAGCCAAGATACGGCTGTCTCCACTGCGGCCCACAGGGCCACTGCCTGCTCTGGACAAGACCTTTGCGTCAGCCGCTTTAAAGGCTGTTAATAGGATTGACAGGGATTGTTTGGATTATGGCATGCTGGTCAAAGAGAAGGGTGGTAAGAGACTCCACAGGAACCTGAGCGACAGCCGGCTCCTGGAGAACATGGGATCGGACAGTGTCTCTGTAAGCTCCATGAAGTCTGTCTACAGCGTTCTAAGCCCCATCAGACCCCAGGATGTAAGAAACAGGTAAAGTAGACTTAGGACTTGATGTAATTGCTTTGATTACCTTTAATTATCATTATGTTGGGTAATTAGCAGCTTTTTTCATCCTTACTCTTCCCAGTTTAAAAGTGCTGTTAGATACTTATAGCTTTCATGATCTTTCTTAGTTAATCATCCCAGAATATATTTTATCACTTTATTTTAGTGAGTAAACATTAGTTACTATATGTTTTATAAACCCTAAATCTGTCTTCAGCTCCCGTTCTCCTTTCCAGATAAAGCTTCAACACATCTGGGGTTCTTTAGGTACATATTGTAAGAGGTTGCTCAGGGGTATGGAGAATGGAATGTAATAGCTTTGTGAATCATGAGGGAGTGTTTCTCTCACATCATGTTTGCTCGGGATGAGGGGCGACTGCAGAGTCCATGGTTCTGGGATCCAGGCCAGGTTCCTTAGATAGCATTTTACAAATTAGTTTTATATGATCATCTGATTTTGCTATATATGACTTAAAAATAAAATGTTTATACTTTGCAAATTGTGGCTAAATATGTAAATAAAGTTAATTGAATTAGGAATTATAGTCAGGACTTTGATGGGTTTTTTGTTTGTTTGTTTGTTTGTTTTAAGGGAAACTTTAGGCCATAGATTATGGTTGATCACAACTTTTATTACAACACAATCAAATGACTGGGCTCCATTTTAATAGAAAAGAGTGAACCTGGCAAGGCTTCAAACTTTAAAAGCTAGATTTTTTTCCCTTATAGTGAAGAAAGTTTAGCTTTGTTTCTAGAAATATATTGTTATTCATATAGCAGCTTTAGATGAGAACATTTTCTGCTGCTGTTTGACTATAACTTTGTGCTCTGTATCTATACTTTGTGCTAACATCTGTAGGAAGAGGAGTGTTATTGCAGTGTGAAAGGGATTAGCATGGATCAGAGAAGATGCTTGCTCAGCCTTCTTTCTACGGGAGTAAAAGGCAAAAAGGGGGCATAAACTAGTCTCCTAATGCATAATTTGTCTCTTGCCAGCAACTACTTAAGAAACACCTAAGTTTCCATGAGACAGCAGCCTCGTTTTAAATTTTTCTTCTTTCTTGAGGACAAGCCTTTAACAAAATTAGATTTTTGCTTTCTTCTAGGAGTTTCCTGGAGGGCAGTATGCTGGGAAGCGGGGCCTTGCTCGGGGCTGAGGAGCTGGACCGACACTTTCCAGACCGAAGAGTGGGCGTCTATGTGGTGACATGGAACATGCAGGGAGAGAAGGTAGCAATGAGACTTCAGCGTCTCACTCACTGTGAATGCAAGCAGCTGAATAAATTATTACCAAACATCTGTCATCCTCAGTTTCTTCCAGCAAACTTAAATGATCTCCTCCTTCCGATGGACTCTGAATTTGCACAAGATATTTACGTCATCGGGGTTCAGGAGGGCTGCCCTGACAGGTATGTCCAGTTAGGGTTTTATCAGGAGGATTACACTTTCAATTTAGTGCAATCAGTTTGTTTACATGTGTTTGCTTGCAGGAGGGAGTGGGAGACCTGCCTCCAGGAAACTCTGGGACCTCATTATGTTATGCTCTACACCGCATCACATGGGGTCCTGTACCTGACCGTGTTTATCAGGAGAGACCTCATGTGGTTCTGTTCAGGTCTGTGCTCTAATATTGCTTGGTTACCTTTGTTTATATGGACCAAGTGAATTCATTTCCACACGTGAAATGTGGGATTTTGCTGGAACCTGAAGTTCTACAATTATATATATAAATATTGAACTTTTGTATTATAGAACACATTTTTAATATATGCATCAAAATGATAAATTTAAGTTTGTTAATATATTGTACTGAAATATAAATGAGAGAAAGCTGCAGTTTTTTTTTTATAGAATAAATGTTTTAAAATCTTAATTTTAGCCCTTAGAAGATCCCAAATAGATCCAGATTACCAGTACTAGTCCTTAGATTAGAGTTAGAGACGTCCTGAATTTCTACAGTTGATCAAAGGATTCTGCTGTTGCAGCCTTTTCATTTTAGAGGAAAGCAGCTGCCTGCGTTAAGATGCTCAGTGTATTTTAGTTCTTATCAGGAGATCAGGTCAAACTGGATTCTTTTTTTTATTTTGAGAGTTGAAATCTAGAATGTTCTCGTTGCCTTAGGCCAACTATTTACTTATTTGCTAATGGAGAGATTTTAGGGATTCTTGATTAAAATATTTTCTTTGCAGCCTTTATTAAGCTTATTGTCTGAAGACGTTAGGGCTGTGGATCTAAAAGCACAAAGGGGACTTTTCCAGCGCTGACAAACACAGACTCCCGAAAGATAAAACAGCTTTGCTATCTTGCTCAAAGTGTTTAATGTATTTGCCTTTTAGCTCAACTTATGTTTCATTATCAATATAAAGCTTGAATTTAAAACATGATAAATGTAGAATTTTTTACGTTTATCTTAATGATTGCTACATTGAAGCCTGTGAAAGATCTCAGCATGTAAATCTACACGTTCTTTGCCAATGTTTCTTTTCAATTGCAAAGTTTTGTATTGTCTTTTTTTATTTCGGTTTCTCCCCAAACAGAAGTGGAACATGCCACGGTCACAACCAGAATCATCTCTCAGATTAAGACTAAAGGGGCTCTGGGGGTCACCTTTACCTTCTTTGGAACGTCCTTCCTCTTCATAACATCCCACTTTACATGTAAGTAGAAAAACAACAAGCAGCATCAGAAACATCTTACCATCATGAAGATAGTACATGGAGGTGTACTTGTGTTATTGGTAATCAGCTAAATTAAACTTGGACTTATCGAATACCATGATATCTAGTTATATTTGCTAGAATTTAGAAGGAAAAAAAAGAAACACAAAAGAATGAAATGACTAACAAACGGGGGTTACATCCATCCTCTGTTTGGTATTTTCTTCTTCTTTTAATTTTCCATCATTTTTTAGTGGGACCTGAGTCAGTTCTTATTGATGTATCCTTATAGATACATTCCTACATAAAAACAAAAATCAGCATGTGAAATGGGGACATTTTAGAATAGAACTTTATTTTTTTCACAATGGAGACATTCACTTGTGACATTGGCTGTTATAAACAACAAGGTGCACAAAGGAGAAAAAGGTTAATAAAGTTTATACAGTGCACATATACAGTGGATTGTAAAAAAAATAAACAATAGATTTAGGGTGACTTATATATACAGTATTATATGTACAGTAAAGTGGTGGCAGGTAAAGTGTGGTTTCTGGTTTTTATTAAATAAATAACAGAAGTTATTGCAGTGTTATTACAGCAGGTTATATTGCATAGGCATTGTAATGTCTGATGGCTGCAGGGATATTTTTCTACCTGCGGAAGAACTCCTTTTTACACACGGGATGTATAACTCTGTTACTAAAGGAGCTGCTCAGCTCCTCTACAGTCTGGTGCAGAGGGTGGAAGGTGTTATCCATGATGGATGTAAGCTTGGACAGCACCCTCCTCTCAGCAGTTTCTTCCACAGAGTCCCGAGCACAGCCCTAGGACAGAAACTGCCTTTCTCACCAGTTTGTTCAGTCTCTTTCCGTCCCGCTCTGCGCTGCCAGAGGCCTAGCAGACAACAGCTTAGAGGAGGGCCTATGCCACCACAAAGTCATAGAAGGTTTTATGCAGGGGCTTTCTCACTCTAGAGAACCTCAGCCTGCTCAGGGGGTGGAGGCGGCTCTGGCCCTTCTGTGTTATGAGTCCAGTCCAGTTTATTATTGACGTGAACACCCAGGTATTTGAAACTCTCCATAGTTTCTTTGTCCTGCCCCTGGATGTTCACAGAGGAGTGAGGTTGGAGTCTTCCTCTAAAGTCGATCCCTGTCTCTTTGGTCTTACTAGTGTTTAGATACAGGTGGTTCTTCTCACACCAGTCCAGATAGTCCTTGATGACTGACCGGTACTCCAGCTCGTTCCCCTCAGAAACATAGCCTACACAATGTCAGAGTCATCGGAGAACTTCCACAGGTGGCAGCTGTCCGTGTTAAAGGTGAAGTCTGAGGTATAGAGGGGGAAAAGAAACGGAAACAGAACAGTGCCCTGGGGGGCCCGGAACTGCAGGCAGTCTCTGGATACCTCTGACTGACAGCTGGGTATCCGCACGTGCTGAGGGCAGTCAGTGAGGTAGTTGATGGTCCATTCAGCCAGATATTTGCCTCCTCCAGCTTCCCCCTCAGCAGCTCTGGTCTGATGGTGTTGAAAGCACTGGAGAAGTCAAAGGGCATAACTCTCACAGCACTCCAGGTGTGTGAGCGCCCGCTGCAGCAGGTAGATGATGGCGTTGTCTACTCTGATGATGGGCCGGTAAGTAAACTGCAGCGGGTCCAGGGTTCACTACGGTGCGAAGAGGAGGCGCACCATGGTCTTCATACATGGGAGGTCAGGGTGACTGGTCTAATGTGGGTCTAAACTGGTTTAAAGCAAATTATATCACAGGGTTATCCTCAGTTCAACTATGTGCTTCCAAAGAGGCTTTAAAGACAGGCTGGCTGTCTTATGTTTTTATTTTTTTATTTTAACAACTTCTGCAGCATGGGGCAGTCTAGATAATACATTTATTTTTAGGGGTAATTTTTCAACAAAAATTTTCCCGTTTTGTGAGCGAGTTGTTTGCTATTTTCCTCACTGATATATCCTCATTTAATTATTTTGCCCTCCTTTTCTTTCATATGTACATTGAATGTGTGATCAATGACTGTGAATGTAAAATATCTGTCCTTTATATATTTTGATTATTTAGTTCTTCTCATTGGAGATCTTCTAATGTCTTCATGCTGCTGAATATTTAGGGTTTCATGTTTCTCCAAGTTAAACTGATCTCTTGATTCCTGTAAAATTTGCCAGTCTTCCTTCTTTCTTCAAAGCGATCCATGTTGCCTTTTATTTTGTGGGATAAACCAGTGGTCACAATCATTTTAAAAAATATTTATATTACAAAGTGTAACCTGTAGTTCATTATTGCTCTTTATCTCTGTACATTTTTGTTACTTGGTTTGTCTTTCAGCTGGAGATGCCAAAGTTTACGAGAGAATTCTGGATTACAATAAGATCATTGAGGCCTTAGCTCTTCCCAAAAGCATTCCAGACACCAACCCGTATCGCTCCTCATCTTGTAAGACTGGAGAAAAATGACAGCTAGAGTCATTGGAAACCGACATTTCTCATTACGATCTTGTGTCTTTTACTTTTAATCACAGCTGACGTCACCACCAGGTTTGATCAGGTTTTCTGGTTTGGTGATTTTAACTTCCGACTCAGCAAAGAGCGGGCTGACATTGAGACGATAATGAAGCGAACAATGGGTGGGGATATGAGCCCTCTGCTGGAGCATGACCAGCTCACTAAGCAAATGAAGGACGGTATGTAGGATGAAAGCCTCGGAGAACCACAGCTGTTTGGTTGATGATCTCTGAATGAATAACTCCCTCCTTACAGGGTCCATCTTCAAAGGTTTCCAGGAGGCACCAGTCCACTTCTTTCCAACCTACAAATTTGACATTGGCTGTGATAACTATGACACCACCTCTAAGCAGAGAACGCCTTCATACACAGTAAGGAGGCATTTAGCAGCATGTTCTAATTGCTCACAATCTATGTGTGGTTAAAGGCTTTTTGTTCTCAGGACAGGGTTCTGTTCAGGAGCAGGCAGGCTAATGACATAAGAGTGCTGAAGTATGACAGCTGTTCCAGCATAAAGACTTCAGACCACAGACCCGTCATCGCCGTCTGTCAGGTTAAACTCAGGCCGGGAAGAGACAAGTGAGTCCATTTAATACATCATAGCGTTTAATTGCATTTGTTAGGTTCTGTATGTCTTCATCTACTTTGATGTGCAAACCCCAAATTATTTACAATAGATTTAAATTTACATTTATTTTGAATTACCTAGAAGTTATTTCCTGTTTTTACTTTTTATTTTAAAATGGGATGTCTAAATTATCTCCCAAATTTAACTGGGATCAAAGCAGTCTCACATAGTTAGGTCTGACCAGCTTTTAACACGTTTCCACTTTTATTTTTATCCATTTATCAGTCGATAGGAGCTCCGAGTCTTTTTATGTGGGAACGTCTCCTTACCATCACCATAATCTATCGATCCTTAGACAGATTCTCTATTTGATTCATCAGGAAACTGCTGGGTCACTGCCAATCGTTTATATTACTTATAGTGCAAAGAAACATGGTGGTAAAATTAAGATAATTTTAGACGCAATCTGAATAATTTTGTGATCATTTTAGATCAATAATCAATTGCCCACATTAGATGTAAATAAGATACAATATAGATGCTGGAGAATGAAATGATATGGAGATGAAATGATTATACCAACATTGTTTACTCAGAGTAAACTAAGTAGGTTTACCCCCTCTTTATTTGACAGATTCAAGTTTTTAAGTTCAGAATGATGTCTGCTTTGGTCCTCCATACTTTTTTGCTCTTGTAGTTTACCTTATAGACCGTAGACTGTTTGCTGTTGCTGATTATTATTTTGTCAACCCAGCAGTTTAAAGTGGGCCAGTCAGAAAGTCCAGGGTCACTTTTTCTCTCCAGTCCAGCCTTCAGTACATCATTAGTATTACTGTGCTAGGGCTTTTTTTCAGGTATTATAAAAACAAAACAAAGACTTATTGTGATTTTTCCCTTCCTTTTTTTTTAAAGGAAAGGGGAACACTTGAGGTTCAGAAGCAGTTTATTTCAGCGTTTGTTTTCTTTTGTTCTCAATATTAATATAACTGCTAAAAAATGCTTAATCATGGTCAAAAGGATCCAATTAATTGTTAGGTTTCTAACAATATCCAGCTTTCATTGAATATATGAATTGGTACCTGCCTACTTCACAGCCCTGTTGTTGGGAATAGTGATACATTGGATTTACCTCAGCAGTTGGAACTGGGGAGTCTTGAGTGCACTATGTATTGTTCATATATGACAGGTTATAGCCTATTTTACAACAATAAAAATGATAAAAGCATTGACAGGATTTTTTAGGTGAGCATTTTATTAACCATTTGTCATTGTTTTATTTTAGATACTTGTAATTTAGTCAAACAAAATTCACCCTCACTTCCTTTCTTCTGTCCAAACCTCCAATTAACCTCATCCTATTATCCTACACTTTACTGCACTACCTATACTGGTGGCATATTTCAAAATGTGTCTTTTGGTGGGTTTATACTTCTACATTGGGTTGGGTTTAGTTACGCTTTTTTATATATATATATATATATATATATATATATATATATATATATATATATATATATATATATATATATATATATATATATATATATATATATATATATATATATATATATATATATATATATATATATATATATATATATCTTACCTTTTTCAGGCAAGATAATAAAATAAAAATACTATACATATTGTGATATTGTGAAATGATTCCTTTATGGAATAAATCAAACTTTAAAGCAGAAGTCAGGTGAGAAATACCCATTGGTTCATTGATAGATGTTGCCAAGCAACAGTTCTATCACCTATGTTATAATTTAGCCTCCAACTGGGGAATGATATTGCATCTTTTAATTTTTTATATTAACTATTTAAAAAAATGTTTTTTTTGTGCTGTTATTTAGCAATTTCATGTAAAAAAATGTTTAAATCTACCTGTTTAATAATTACAGATTCAAGATGTTGTTCATTTTCCCTTTCCAATATTTTATTGTGTTGCTCAGTATTCCTCTGTGTGGAGGAATGTTCGACCGGAGTTTGTACCTGGAGGGCATCAAAAGGAGGATGACTGCCAGAGAGCTGAAGAGGAGGGAGGCCATATCCAGCCAAAACAGCAGCACCATCTGCACCATCTCCTGAACGCTTTAAGAAGCTCTCTACAGTCAGGACTGAACCTGTGCCACACGTGGGAATGGACCAAAATGATAACCAGCGTTGTCTTAACATGCTGTTGGGATAATGGCTGCAGCTGAGCACCAAGGGCCTTTAAGGTCTGCAGACATCAGCAGTCTGGCCTTTATTTAGCCTTCTTTACTTAAATATGACTGGGAAACAAAGAGTGAGTGGATTGGGTGCCTTTAGTGCTTAATCCTCAGTCACATGCAACTAACCTGAAAGTCTGCACTCATTGTCTTAACAGAATCCGTAACCATTCTGATGGTCAAACGATCAAAAGCCTTGTGATTTATAATGCACTGACCCAAACTTTTATTAAAACAAAAGAAACATGTAGGTGTTTGGCTTAAATTGCATTTTTTTTACTGGTCAGAGCATTTCTGCTGAGGTTAGTACAATTCTCAGAGTGTTACAAAGAGAAATGAGGGTACGAGTTGGTTCCATTTCAGGGAAACTTGACGTTTATATTTATTTGAAGAATTGTATTGATCTGCTTTTTCAGGGAACTCACCATAGAGAGAATGTTGAAATGTTTTTGTCATGGGAAGCTTGTTACTGTCGCTGTCTTATATTCCATGCAGTTTTCATCATAGCTCTGACTTTATGCCTTGCATCTCGTTTAATTCCTTACAGACCGTAAACTTTCAATGTACTGTATGTAGCACAGCTATGGGCTGGAGCTTTAAAAGCTTTCTGCTTATTTAAACAAGTGCCTATGGGTCTTGCTAACTTAACATGACCCGTTTGTCAATAATTTGTAAGTTATTGTGTAATCTAATGTGTAACATCCTGTAATAAATTGGTAAATTTGAACCTTTATAAAACAGTTTTATTTATGTCTACATTTATTAATGAATCATATTAGCTTATTGGAAGAACATGGTTTAATGTAACCACTAGGAAACTGTATACAATAGTGGTTTACCTTTTTATTCTTGGTTTTTCGCACATTGAACTGCTAGCTGTAGCTGGATCCAAATTAAAGCAACATTTTGTCCAGAAATACGCAAAGCCCATCAATAACAGCAGCCAATCAAAAAGTTGTGTGCATGTTGGAAATGTCTTAGTTTCATTTAGGATCTTTTTAAATGTAAAACAGAAATGAATGCAAAGGCACCATGCCTCAAACAAAACATACACCCCGGATCAGAATAATTAGCTGTGTCTTATCTTCCTCGTTTTTTTTTTATTTTACAGTGATCAGATGATTTAGGTTGCATTCACAAGCACTGCTTAGTTAAAATGGAATTAACACATTAGAATGGTAATACTGTCTTTTTGCAAGGAAAAATAGGATTTGCATAGTTATTGTTCATGGACAACTTTTATAGAAGCTCAACGACTAAATGAGACGCATGGGACATGAACAAGAAAAAAAGTTTCCTTAGCACAACAGCTGTGGTGCTAGCTGTTCTTTTATTTAATAAAAAGAAGTCTACTTGTATAACCTAAAATTAAATCATGTACAGCCAACTGCCTTTAAAAGCCTGTCTATCAGAACCCTACTGTCCTACAACATCCTCAGAGGTTTATTTGAGAACATAAAAAACAGCATCTATATCATGAGCATAAAACGGAGCAGACGGGTCAAGAATAAAGCTGTAGTCTAGTCTGTTCCTTTAATTAACTAGAAAGCGGAAAATGTTCCATCATCTAATATATACATATATATAGATAGATATTAAACTGTTTGAACCAAAGCATCTTCCCTAAAACCAATTAAAAACCATTCAAATGTGATATAACCGATAAAACTGGCTGTTTGTCACAGATTTCACTGAAAGTTTTAGACTGGGAGCCCATTAGCAAATCACAAACACTGAGTCAGTCTAATTGAATTAATCCTCCAGCCAATAATTTAATATATTTCTATTTTTTGCCTTCAGTCTATGTAGTTCAAACTAAATTAAATAACCACCATAAAAGAAAGTTCCAGTAACTTTATTTATACAAACACTCTTCATCTGGACTGGTTTGTTTTTAAATGTATTCTAAAATGGGTTTAGATACTTCAGCCTCAGAAGGTTTTAGTTTGCTCACTTTGAAGGAGAATAGATGAAGGTACGATAAAAAGTCCAACATTAATATCTAACCATAACCGACTAAATGAGGAGTCACAGCGTAACATTTACTTATCAACAAACAGCTAAGTGTTTTTTGTTTTGGGGAAAACCGTCCATTTAAAACCAAACAGGTGGAGATTTATGGCTTTCTGCCCAATAAATAGATCATCCAGCTGAGGTTGCTGTGCTGTAGAAAGAACTTCTTAAAAAACAAAACTCCTCTTTTCTGTCAGAGGCGCATGTCAGAGACCAGGTATCAGTCCTCTCCCAGACCTAGCCGTGTAGATTTCTGAGTTTGGGAGGAAATGCTAGTGTAATCTTCCAGTGGGGGGCTTATTTACAGCAGGTCCTGAGCCATGCCGGGAGGATCTATCTGAAGAGGCGGTAGACGCGAGGCAGGCGTCCGTCCTTGCTTGACAACGCCGCCTGGATGTGTTCGTACGTGGGCAGCTCTGTCAGCTCCCCGAGAGCAGCCACTGCAGGTTTACTTCTCAGCATCTTGGTGGTCACTCTCTTAATGTCGCTGGCCGTCACGCTGCCTGTAAATCATTTTAGTAGTCATTAATGCATTCATTGGAGCAGCACATTTATGTTAACTTGTTTTAAAAAAAAAACAACTTACTGATGAGGTCACAGAGCTCATGGGGGAGCTTTCTCTTTCCCGTGGACAGAACTTGGCGTCCAACGTCTTCAAATATAACAGGACGAGACTCTAGATTCATCATCAACATGGACTTTAGCTGAGTTTTGGCTCTCTCCAGCTCCATCTGTACAAAGGATGGGAAAATCTAAAGGCTTTGCTTTTCTTTTTTCAGCGTCAAATGAAGCCAAAGTTGTTGGGATCCTTACCTCTCCTGCACTCCCGCCCATCTGAATGAACTCTCTGGTTATAATTTCCACCATCTCTCGCACCTGGAGTTCAACACAGGAGCATAAGTGTCTGTTTTCAATCGATATTATAAGCTCTGCTTATAACTTTGACAGGGAATATTTTGTGCCCCTGCTGTCAACCTTGTAAACTGCTGAAAACCCAATTTGGAGGGCTGATCCTATAAATAGCTAAGATTTAAATGACAAACAAGTTTATTGTGTAAAATGAGGCAGCACTATATCAAGAAATATTAAACTGATCATCAATTCACATTGTCTGTAAATCGGTCACTTCAAGCACGCTCTGCTGCTGAAGCTTGCATAGGGTCGTTCACGCTATCTACTTATGTTTTCATCATCGCAATATTCAATACTGATACATTTTTCAGATTTTGTGATTATAAATATACGTGTCTTAATATAGTCACATTTATAGTTAAGTTTAAACTCCTGCAATTTGTGTATTATACAGTCATTAAACCCCAGAAATAAAATCCTAAAGTTCAACAGATTTTTTAAGCCGTCTTGCTGACCTGTCTGGGGTCTGCGCTCGCGTGGATGCACAGCAGCCCACTGTCCTCGTAGCTGTGATGGTAGGAGGTGGCGTTGTACATCCAGTGATGTCTACAACAGATAAGTAGGACCACATATAAACGACAAAGCTAAAGATTTTAGCCTGGATTAGTCAAAATGAAGCTCTCACCTGTTGAGGACGTTCAGGTACAAGCGAGTGAACATGCCTTTCCCCGGTCCTCCTGCAGAGAAGGAACCCCCTCCACCCATCATCATGTTCAGCACAGCAAAGGGGATGAAGTCCTCCTCCTGTGGAGGGAATCATTTTAGTCTCCGTGTGTCAGAAGGCTGATTTGGGAATGTGCTGCAAACACCAACCAGGAAGGAGCAGCTCTCCAAGCCTATCATGATGTGGGTGAGTTCTGGGATGGGTGTGGGGCCCAGGCTCACGTCAGACATGTCTTTCTCCATCTAACAAATCAAAGGGAACGTTAGCGACCATCTCAAACACAAGGTTTAGTCACACATTTAGACGTTTATAAACACCTTAACGAAGCCACCGGTGTACTGCGCTACAGAGAGGTCCACATCAGCGGCCGAACTCGTCCCCCAAACCGGCCTCACGTCCAGCAGATACTTCCGGGCACATTCGACCAGCTGCTCATGCTCGACGCCCACGCCTGCCAGCACCATGCGCTCAGGGCAGTAGTAGTTATGCAGATAGCTGTGAAGTACTTTCTTGTCTATCTTTTCCACGTTCTCTGCAGGACAGAAGCGAGGAAGTCCGACTGTGTTCCCCCGATACGCAGCCTGGAAACAGAGAGGATCCTTAAAACCAAACACCTCCATTATAAAAACAGGCTAAAAACGTCAAGTAAAGCAAATACGCTTTATTTTAATATTAACTGAAATCAGGCCACCCTGTAAGGCGAAGAAGTTCAACAGTAAAAGGAACTATGTTCCCGTCCTGCAAATCAATCTTTAAATTTGAACACAGAATAACTGGAAATAGAACCATTTACAACAACTGAAAAAAATACAGAGAAGCTACTTGTTATCAGACTTTTACTGATTAATACCAGAGATTTTGAGGATTAGCTCCAGCATCTCGTTTTACATAAATTATTTGCAAGGTACAAGTCAGTTGGTGCTACAAATTTATATAAATCACCTAAAATCAATCAATCAATCAATCAATCCTAGAGGCACTGCTATAGCTTGTCTAAAAAAACCCAACAGGCAACCTATCCGTCTACTAATGTTCATCCACTTGGTCATCAAATATGAGTGACCTGCTGGTCTGTTTTAACACCAATGAATGTATGGTAGATTAAACTGGTAATTAAACGTAGAAAACCCACGTTTGCTTCAAGAAACCATATGATCCCTTCCTCTAAAGCCTCCAAACTGTTTGTACTTCTTGGTTCAACAAAAAATTTCTGCTAAAACACAATCTACAGCTGAAACAGATCAATGAAGCTCCCAGAGTTCCCACTCACAGCATGGATCATCTCAGTGAGTAAAGGCTCGGGGTCCGGCCTCATGTTTAAATCCTCTAACTCAAAGCGCACGGCCATCCGGGTCATCTCAACCTCTTCGTCTGCATGTAAACAGAATCAGTTTAGGTCTCAGTTCTCCTCTGTGTTTCCTCTGCAGTAAAATGGACTTACCCAGCAGGCGAGGCTGCAGGACAGCATCAGACAGAAGACTGACTACAGTGTCCAGACCTTTGACCTCAGCAGATACTGCATACATGGTCGTGTCTCTGCAAGGAAAACACATATATTTAAAGTGCCGCATTTAGAGGTCGCCACACACAAAATTCAGCTTTAATACCTTGATGTTTGGCAGTCACATATGCCCCCATGTTTTTCCAGTGTGAGAAGGATTTCATCTTTGCTCCCATACTGAGCTGTGGACTGAAAGAAAAGGACATTCCTTAACATGCTTAAAAACGCTTTAACAGGTGGAATATGCTTTTTTTTCTTTGTTTCTTTTGTTGACTTACAGAAAAAGCGAGTTTTTCTAAAAAGTGTGCTATTCCACTTGGATATTTTGCTTCATGTCTAGATCCAGAATTTATCAAAACTAAACACCAGAACATAAAAAAAGAACATTTAAACAATTTCCCACAGTTCAAAAAAGATCAGCATCTATATCTGAATCTAAACCTAGAATTTTTTTAAACTCACTTCCAACAGTGCAGAATTCGCCAAACTTGTTTTGAGAAGCAACTTTGAGGCCGTTTTCTAGAGTTGTGATCTTTGTCTCGTATTTTTCCTGGCCGTCCACGGATGCAAACAGTGGTTTTGGGATTCCAGGTAGCGGTGTAGATAGGGACACATTTGGATATCCTCCACCACTGCTGTACTTTCTGTAAGCTGCAATCCCAAACCTTTCACAACAAACAAAGTCAGTTAGTGGTGAGCTTGCAAAAATCTGCAAACACTTTAGGTTTCTACAAATAGAAAATATTAGAAATAGAGAGCTGAAGCAGGTCCAGGTAATTTTCATTTAAAATATTTCTTTCAAAAGCAATCTAGAGTAATTTCTATTCATCTAAACTTCCCAGATTTGACCCGCTGCTTTACACCTGTTCCACATATCGTGATTAAAGCTAGAAAGGACAATCTTTTATTTCCGGGTGTATCATCTAAATAAGTTGTCCTCCTAATAGTCAATCATTTTGATGAAATGTTTACATAAGGCGGTCCTACTTGCTCGTCCCGTTAGCCATATTTTTCTGCGCATTCACACTTCCAGGTGTAAATCTGTGGTGAGCTACGGTTTCAGACAGTCATTGAAGCTCACCTTTCTCACCGCTGTTCTTAGAAAATGGCAGAGGGTCGTTAGAGAAAAAGTGTCTACGAAGTGTAGGGGAAGAAAAGAAAGGCCTCAGAAGAGGAAGATCTATCCCTTAATGCTGTGCTCCTCGCAAAGCATTATGGGATTTGCTGTCAAAGCTGCCCGCTGTTGTCATTGGCTGTCACTACCCAACAGCGGCGACTAATAACAAAGATGGCGCAGGCAGTGTGCGGTCCACCAGCGAGGAAGTGATCATCTGTCTGAACGGTAAGTTGACTGAGTTCACTACAAAGTTCCCGCTCTATATAGTGATTGAGGGATTTAGGGGTTAGGGCGGACGTTCAGGCACAATAAGCTTGTATGAGCTCTTAGAACAGTATACATGGGCTCATGCATGCTCTCGCAAGCGCATTTTTTTTTTTCATTCGAGAAAATTCTCCACAATAATTTTGTACTTTTTTTGTGTACTTTTAAATGATTCCAGAAAATATGTGTTTTTACTAATATGGAACTGATAAATATTATTAATCAGACACTGGAAAAGAATCAGCTGATAATTTCTTGCAAACAAATTATCAGAGATTTTATTTTCTACAATTTTTGTAATTAATTTGCTATCTTTTACCTGTAAAGATACATTATGTAGGTTTTTACTGAAAATTTGGTTTAAACTAGCCTTTTTATTGAAACCTTTATGACTAAAACAATGTTTGACGAGCAGACTGACACCTCAGTAGTTTAGCACTGATGCATCTATAAGCCTGTAACCTTTTTGTTCTTTATTTACTTTGGGTTGAAAGTTCCCACTATGTTCTGCAGATGTGATGTCAAGAACATCCATGTTAAAGGTTTCCAAATTAGTAAATAATCAAAACCCTTTTATTTCAAGCTGCAATTTGTGGATATTCAGAAGCGACCTGCATTCAGCTCAACTCACAGAACACTGGCAACTCTGGGTAAGGTGAAAAAAGTGAAAACATTAACCTTGTTTACTATAAGAGCCAAGAACGAGCAGAAGAAGGCTGCAGTTGTGTGTTTTGGCCACAGGTGGCAGTATCACACCATGATGCCTCTTTAAGCTAATAGGAAAGGATTGACAAAGATTCATTCTTCATTCTGTTACATTAAATATTATTTAATTTCACATAATTCAGGATTAAGGACCTGCAAAACCACATCTTAAAAAATTGGTTTGATCTTTTAAGTTTAACAAACAAGGGTCAATTACTTATTTCTACCAGAACTCTGTATACACATATTTTTGAGTGATGATTAATATAAAAGGAGCTTATCTGTAGCAAAAAAAAAAATTTGCAGTCTGGAAGTGCTTTTTCATAAGATTTTGAAGAAAGTCAAAAGTGAGCAATATGTAACAAACAATAAAAAAGCTTGGATCAAAAGGTGGAATGGTCAGAAGTTTGCGCCGTCTTCTGAGAGCACTTTAGTTTGTGCTTGTCAAAATAATGAGCGATACACACAAATAACCCACAAGAATGTGTTCAATGTGGAGATAATTTAGTATCATTGCAGCATGTATTGCATTGCAATAAATGCTGGATTGGCCTTTATTAGGAGTGGAAGTTATGTTTTCTAGCACAATCTTTGGGTCAGTCACAGTGGTCTGATACTGGAGACAGCACATGGTACATAAAACAGGCTTAATAAATGTTAATCATCACTCCTTTTTTAGCTAAAATCCCTTCCTGCCTCTATAAAGCCTTGGTAAGGATATCTAGGACATGCACTTGTCATCTATTACTGCTTGACTGTCAACTGGCAACAGCCTTGAAGAATAAAATGTCAACAAAGCTGTAATATTTCAGAAAACCAACAGAGGCTCTGACTGAGCTGTAGAATAAGTATGAAGTATTGATCCTGCTGCTTACAGACGCAGGCAAACCATTAGAACACACCAACGGCTAACGCTGAATGCTAACTGACAGCTAATGTTTAGAGACCAGCACGGTCAGCTGTTTAAAAGCAGCGCGTGACAGTGACGCGCTCTGGTTTTCACAAGTCTTTGTGTAAATGGCTCATCCATAAAGTGTTAACAACGTGAATATAAAGAGCCGTTACCTCTGAAGCCGACTCCAGCTCCTGCACCTCGACATGTGAGTCGCCATCCTGTTCGTCTTTGACCGGAAACCAACCCGGAACAAAATAGAAGCTTTCTGCGTCACTTCCGGGGCAGATATACACGTCTGCAGTTTATTTAGTTCTTACCATTTGGTAATGTTCTTAACTTGACAGTTAGGGTAAGGCTTACCTGTCTTTGATATAGATGGATAGAATACAAAGTTATGTATAAGAAGTATGTATATATTTGTGTGTCTGTGTGTGTGTGTGCATATATATATATATATATATATATATATATATATATATATATATATATATATATATATATATATATATATATATATATATATATATATATATATATATATATATATATATATATATATATATATATATATGTAGGCTATATATATATATATATATATATATATATATATATATATATATATATATATATATATATATATATAGGCTATATATATATATATATATATATATATATATATATATATATATATATATATATATATATATATATATATATATATATATATATATATATATATATATATATATTTTTTTTTTTTTTTTTTATTGATTGATTTAATTTATATATATGTTTATTAGTAGATACATTCAGTAAAAATTCAAAGTATGGGGGGGTTGCCTTAACGACCGACCCTCAGAATAATAGACAGGTTTCAGATATTACAGGCTAACGATGGAACCAAACGACCCATTCATCGGTTATCATTTGCATGTTTCCAAGCGACACAAGGCTTTGTCTATAAGACTCAAACTCACTGCGGATCCAGACATTTGAATTGAGAATGCTTCCTGGAGAGGTGGCGAAACATCTTCAAATCTTGGAAACCAGGTCCAGTGGATATTTTTTGAATTTTTACGGAATGACTATGACCTGGATGACTGAGAATCTTCATCAGCATATTAGTAGATACACATCACGAATCACACTCCATTCCAGTAAGTGGCACTAATGCTACTAAAAGTTTGTTGCCAACTGCCAATAAATCCAATAAGAAGAAGAAAGCATACCTGTCAAGTTTTTCAAATTGAAAGTAAGGGAAATTTAACAATATCCGCTGTACGACTATCCCGGTCATACTTCAGTATCCATTATATTTTAGGAGATGTGCTCAAGAAATCTAAAATATACACTTCTAACCAATTGCAAACTACAACAAGTTGATTTGATTTTAACTTGCGATTCTAGTGACAGCTCTGTTTGGAGAGGGAGTTCAATGTCTTTTTTTTTAAAGAATTTTAAGTAGGCTGGATTTCCTATGTTTTATCTAACTGTACAATGATTAATCTCTGGCAAGAACATCCAGGATTAAATTCCCTGCATGGAGTTTTTCTATATGGAGCTTTCACATTCTCCCCATTGATGCATAAATTCTGTCTTGGTACTTTGGCCTCCTCTCAGAGATGTTAAGTCAATTTACCTAAACTACATTTGATTGTGTGTGTGTTTGCATGGTTGTCTATCCTGTGTCTCTGTGTTCCCCTGTTACAGACTGGAGATTTGTCCAGGACTTCTTTGGCGACAACTGTCTTTATTTACAACCTGCTGGTTGATTAGCAAACAAAAGTTCAAGTTATTGTTTATCAGACCTGCTGACTGAGAAGATAGGCAGCAATTTAATGTGCCGTCATGGGTAATAAACAAGCCACTATTACTAATGTATAACTTGATCCATATATAGTATGGTCTTTCCCTAAAGTCTATGACATAAAAGCCTCTGGCTTTAAGTTTCTAAAGGGAATTGAACACAACCTAAAAAAATACACAGCACTTCATCCAGATTTACAGTATATTGAAACAAAGATTCAGTTTCAAATGGTTTATTTTATATAGTGTTAATCACAACATCTGTCTATATTTCACACACACACACACACAACCCCCCCCCCCCCCACACACACACATATATATATATATATATATATATATATATATATATATATATATATATATATATATATATATATATATATATATATATATATATATATAAAACAGATAACAGATTACATTAGGCAACAGACTTGCAAAATTCACTCCTCCTTGCAAACATTGAAAAACAATTGTATTTACATAAAATATGTTATTAACATCTAATCAATGATTGACATCCGATAACAAGTTAGCAAATAGCCAGGACACGGTGCTACAATTAAAGCAATTGGAACATCTTTATTTTTTTTTTTCTTATCCACCTACTTATTTCATAGATTGGGTTTTGATAAATTATGGTTTACATTTTTAAAGGTATATAATTTGTAGAGGAAACTCAAACCTTTAAGAGCAGTTATTAAAAAAGTTGGATCTAAGGGAGAACCCCCCCCCCAAAAAAACAATATAACTTCAATATATATATTTTTTAGGCAACTTGAATAAAAGAGGCATTATAGAGTTATATAATGATACTGTCACCTGTGGCCAAAATACAAAACTGCAGCATTCTTCTGCTTGTACTCGTAGCTCTGGCGCACACTTAACAAGGTTTTCCTTTTCTTTTTTCCATCTCATGTGGGGTTGCCATTGGTGTCTGAGTGGAGCTCGAGTATGCCCAATATCCATCTTGAATATAACGATTGCTCTGACCCATTCAACATGGAGGCACTTGATGTCACATCCGTAGAACGGTGTGGGAACCTCCGACCTGAATTAAAATAAGAAATATAGGCTGATGGATGCATCGCAGCTGAACTACTGAGGTGCCAGTACTATTATAAAACTGTGTTTTTGTTGACAAAGGTCAAATAAAAAGATGTTTTTCAGCGAAAACATAATGTTAAGTTAGTTTGCAGATCTCAGCTGTATCTCCGAAATGGTGGTACATTCGTATTCCACCATAGAGCGGCTGAGTGAAGGTGGTCTGCACTCTGTGGAGCAGAGTCATGGTCTCAGAGATGTTGTAAAAAGACAGGGTACCTGCTCTCTGATCCAGGTACACCCCAACTCTGGAGAAAACTGAACCAGGGATGGGAGTTGATAAGTTGTTGTGCCAAAAGTGATTGCTGTGTTGGTTACACAATAAAGCCCAGGATTTTTCATCCTGTCCAAATCCGTTGCCGGTTTTAGAGCTGTTCTTGTAAGCAACTGATATATAGCCTCCATTTCCTCCCCACTGTACCTCCCAGTAACAGCGTTCGGACAGAGTCTCCTTACTAAGGATCTGAAACTTGACTGAGTATCTTTCTGGGTGATTATGATAATTTAGATTTTTACGCATTAGGGTCACCTTCCTGTTATCCTCAGAAAGAAGCAGGTTCATGTGAGCTGTGTTTGGATCCAGGGTGATTTCCTGTGAATATTTTAAATGGTCTTCTCTGGTTTTTGGTTCTGGTTCTGACAGTAAAATGTCCAATTTAGTGACTCTCAGTGAGATGTTTGTCCATTTCTCATTCAGGACGTCCTGAAGCAGATCGCTGAGCTCTGACACAGCTGCTGTTACATCTTCAAAGTACCTCAGAGGACGAACATTGATGCTAGAGGAGCAGTTAGACTCAGTGAGATCTGACAGTGAGGAAAAGCTCTTGAGAAACTGGTTATGATCCTCTGCCTGTGAGAGATACTCCAGCTCAGCAACTTCCTTCCTCAGCTCACAGATCTCCTGCTCCAGCTTCTCCTGGACATCTTTGACCCTGCTCACCTCAGATTCCTGTTGGGATCTGATCTGCTGCTTCAGTTCAGAACTCCTTTTCTGTATAAAAGAGATAAGTTCTAAAAAGATCTCCTCATTGTCCTGCACTGCTTTATCAGCAGAGACATTAATTGCCTCCACCTCCTGTTGAAGTAACTTTACATTTTTCTCTCCATCTTTGATCTTCTGCTGGATGTCTTCTTTTCTCACCTCCAGCTCCTTCTGCTTCTCCATCCTCTCTGCTGCACCGGAGACGATGTCATGACCTTTATGTTCATCCACAGTGCAGACGTAACAGATGCTCTGCTGATCAGTGCGACAGAACATCTTCATCACCTCGTCGTGACGTGAGCAGATGTTCTCATGGAGATGCTTGGAGGGCTCCACCAGCTGATGCTTCTTTAACCGAGCCACGTCATAATGAGGCTGGAGGTGTTTCTCACAGTAAGAAAATAGACATATCAAACAGGACTTTGTTGCTTTTAATTTCCTCGCAGTGCAGATATCACAGCCTACATCTTCAGGTCCAGCATAACTGTGAGTAGAAGGAGAAGCTCCTAATCCAGTCATCTTCAGCTGCTCAGTTAAAGCTGCTAACATGATGTTTTTCACCAGGGTAGGTCTCGGTTTGAAGGTCAGTCTGCACTGAGGACAGCTGTGGACTCCTTTCTTATCTTCTTCATCCCAGAAGTTTTCAATACACTTCATGCAGTAGCTGTGTCCACAGGGAATGGTTACCGGATCCTTCGGTAGATCCAGACAGATAGAGCAGGAAAAACTCACTTGATCCAGCTCAGCTCCTTTCTGCGCCATTTCTCCTCATACACGGTTTTAGTTTCACTTTTGGACAAATGAAACTCACCCTGAACTCTGCTCCACGTCATTGGTTTGAGCAGTGAAGGAGGCGTGTCAGCAATGGAAAGGCCAATAAACTCTTTATCTGAGTGGGGAGGGAGGGGGGATCTGTTGAGAGATTAACTGCTGTTTCAGAGCAGCAGGAAGAAGTGGGTGTTGTCAGGGCACCATGACAGACACTTTGTTGAACGCTTTAAAAAACAACATTCCCTGATAGTACTGTATATGTTTACACTTTAAATTACGCTTCGCAGTTTCTAAATTTGATCTAAATTCTAGAGTTTTTCTCTATTTGTGGATTTAATTTAATTTAATTTTTAATGGTATCTCCCACCTATAGTGTTTGAGACATCATGCTATAGGCCGTATCATGACTTGTTGCCTTTCCATCCAGAAAGACAGTCTTCCTTTTATCTGTTATTAGTAGTCAGCTTGGCTAACCTTAGGCTTCTTATAATTGTTCCAGTAGTATTAAATGTATAAATATGGAAACTCCTCATTCATTGCTACATTAACTC